TCTGTAATCTTTTGACTACCACCCACAGGATTGGTATGGGGTGACTACCACCCACAGGATGGGTATGTGGTGACTACCACCCACAGGATGGGTATGGGGTGACTACCACCCACAGGATGGGTATGGGGTGACTACCACCCACAGGATGGGTATGTGGTGACTACCACCCACAGGATGGGTATGGGGTGACTACCACCCACAGGATGGGTATGGGGTGACTACCATCCACAGGATGGGTATGGGGTGACTACCACCCACAGGATGGGTATGGGGTGACTACCACCCACAGGATGGGTATGTGGTGACTACCACCCACAGGATGGGTATGGGGTGACTACCACCCACAGGATGGGTATGGGGTGACTACCACCCACAGGATGGGTATGGGGTGACTACCACCCACAGGATGGGTATGTGGTGACTACCACCCACAGGATGGGTATGGGGTGACTACCACCCACAGGATGGGTATGTGGTGACTACCACCCACAGGATGGGTATGGGGTGACTACCACCCACAGGATGGGTATGTGGTGACTACCACCCACAGGATGGGTATGGGGTGACTACCACCCACAGGATGGGTATGGGGTGACTACCACCCACAGGATGGGTATGGGGTGACTACCACCCACAGGATGGGTATGGGGTGACTACCACCCACAGGATGGGTATGGGGTGACTACCACCCACAGGATGGGTATGTGGTGACTACCACCCACAGGATGGGTATGTGGTGACTACCGCCCACAGGATGGGTATGGGGTGACTAATAAACATATTAAACTATCTCACTGTCTAAAAGATCCCTTGTTTTGATGATGCTCTAAGCTACTTGTTCTCTCTCAGCAATAATTTTGTGACATTGCACATCTGGAGAACGCGCAAAGAACCTTTACTGTACATATACTGTAAACTTTGACAAACACCTAAATTACTAGGAATGTCTGAAGACCGTTGGCCTGTTTCTGTGAGAGCTATGAACACTGCATATATTCCTATGAATACCCACTAATATATTTTATAAGTTTCATTGTTTTTTGGGAGTATTTTAAACCCTGAATGTTAGCAAAAGAAAATGGATTTTCCATATGAGACAATTGGAGAAGTGGGTTTTGTAAGTACCGCTGATACTGTACCAAAACTAACCAAAACTAAACTAACTGAAATTAAACTAACCTGAACTAACCTAACCGAAACTAAACTAACTGAAGTTAAATTAACCTGAACTAACCTAATCTAAACTAACCTGACCTAACTTAACCTCAATTAATCTAACGAAAACTAAACTAACTGAAACCAAACTAACAAACTAAACTAACTGAAGTTGAACAAACCTAACCTACCTTTCCTAACTAAACAAGAAATAATTTCTCTGCATGCTACTGACTTTCTGTGCTTAATATTTCTGTTTAATGTAAAACTACATTTTGTATACTGTAGGAAGAAATGAAGTGTGTTTGTTCATTTAGGTACCCATGAAAGCCATGAAGATACATGACATGACAACTTATGACACACCTTGTGACGATGATCGACGTTTGACTGCATTTTCCTCACGCGTTCTTCTTCTGATCTCAGCTTGTTCTTCTTGCTGTCTCCGGCGTTCATTCTCAGCAATTGCTTGCTTAAACCTGAGGAAATAACAGAATATTTCATTAGAATTAAATTTTGGTGTATGTGTTAGTACTCCTTGAGAAACTGCAATGTGTTAGTACTCCTTGAGAAACTGCAATGTGTTAGTACTCCTTGAGAAACTGCAATTAACAATTAGAAAAAGCTTGGAAAATTATTGAATATGAAAATAAATTAATAAATTAAGGAAAAGAAAATCTTTATAACACTGGGATGCTTGAATGTGCATGAATGTAGTGTGGATGATAAAAAAGAGATGATTGCTAATGTTATAAATGAAATAAGTTGGATGTCCTGGCAAAACAAAGCTGAATGGGGTAAGAGAATTTCAGTGGGGAGAAATAAATGGGATTAAGTCAGGAGTACCCGAGAGAGTTAGAGCTAAGGAAGGGGCAGCAATAATGTTGAAGGATCAGTTATGAAAGCAGAAGAGGGAATATGAATGTATAAATTCAAGGATTATGTGGATTAAAATAAGGGTCGGATGTGAAAAGTGGGTCATAATAAGCATGTATGCACCTGGAGAAGAGAGGAGTGTAGAGGAGAGAGAGAGATTTTGGGAGATGTTAAGTGAAAGTATAGGAACCTTTGAACCAAGTGAGAGAGTAATTGTGGTAGGGAACCTAAATGCTAAAGCAGGAGAAGTATTTAGAGAGGGTGTGGTAGGTAAGTTTGGGGTGCCAGGTGTAAATGATAATGGGGAACATTTGATTGAACTTTGTACAGAAAGGGGTTTGGCTTTAGGTAACACATATTTTAAGAAACAGAGGATAAATAAGTATACAAGATATGATGTAGGGTGAAATGACAGTTTGTTGAGCTACGTATTGGTAGATAAAAGATTGTTGGGTAGACTTCAGGATGTACATGTTTATAGAGGGGCCACAGATATATCAGATCACTTTTTAGATGTAGCTACAGTGAAAGTAAAAGGTAGATGGGATACAAAGAAAATGGAAACAACAAGTAAGGGAAAAGTGAAGATTTATAAACCAAAGGAGGAGGCAGTTAGGGTAAGATATGGTGGGCTAAAGAGAGTATAGGCAATGGGATCAAAGATGTATGGGGTAAGTTTAAGAATGTAGTGTTAGAGTGTTCGGCAGAAGTTTGTGGTTACAGGAAAGTGGGTGCGGGAGGGAAGAGGAGCGATTGGTGGAATGATGTTGTAAAGAGAGTAGTAAGAGAGAAAAAGATAGCATATGAGAGGCTTTTACAAAGTAGAAGTGATGCAAGTAGGGAGGAGTATATGGAGAGAGAAAGAGAGGTTAAGAGAGTGGTGAAGCAATGTAAAAAGAGAGCAAATGAGAGAGTGGGTGAGATGTTATCAACAAATTTTGTTGAAAATAAGAAAAAGTTTTGGAGTGAGATTAATAAGTTGATAAAGCCTAGGGAACTAATGGATTTGACAGTTAAAAATAGGAGAGGAGAGTTATTAAATGGACAGTTAGAGGTATCGGGAAGGAGGGAATATGTTCAGGAATTGTTAAATGTTGATGAAGATAAGGAAGCTGTGATTTCATGTATAGGGCAAGGAGGAATAACATCTTATAGGAGTGAGGAAGAGCCAGTTTTGAGTGTGGGGGAAGTGCATGGGGCAGTGAGTAGAATGAAAGGGGGTAAAGCAGCTGGGATTGATGGGATAAAGTTAGAAATGTTAAAAGCAAGTGGGGATATAGTTTTAGAGTGGTTAGTGTGTTTATTTAATAAATGTATGGAAGAGGGTAAGGTACCTAGGGACTGGCAGAGAGCATGCATAGTTCCTTTGTATAAAGGCAAAGGGGATAAAAGAGAGTGTAAAAATTATAGGGGAATAAGTCTGTTGAGTATACCTGGTAAAATGTATGGCAGAGTTATTACTTAAAGAATTAAGAGTAAGATGGAAAGCAGGATAGCAGATGAACCAGAGCTCTCAATGTGGGCCTGGCCATCTTCTACTTCCACATCCATCCAACATTTATCGAAGCAGAGAAATTTACATACATCCCTCAATGTTACAACTGCTATTCTTACCAGCATACCACAAAGAACTGCCCCTGCATAGACAAGAAAATCTGTGCTACCTGCGGCACTGAAGGCCACGATTTCAAGTCATGCACCTCCACCACTCCACCCAAATGCCTCAACTGCAACAACGACCACCACACCTTGGCTTCCAAATGCCCTACCAGACGTGAACTACTGAAAAATCAGCTTGAACAACAGCAGACACCAACTACCCAAGCAACCTAATATGCTGCCATTACCAGGAATCTACCTGACTCCACCCCAGTCCTCCAGGCCTCCACAACTACATCTCCACCATTGCCCGTGGGTGACTCCACCAAAATCCTATACTGCATCATGTATGCCCACGTCCACAATATTGCAGCACCAGGCTCCTTCAACACCACGATCAACAAACTCTTCCAACTCAACAACATGCCCAACTTTATATTCCCTGCATCACCACCGTCAAGTGACATCGTGAAGTCCACTAACAACATTATCAACATCACCTCTGCTCCTCCACCACCACCGACCGCTCAAGAGCTTGACCAATCAGAGACCACCGAACCACAGCAGAATCCCACCAATGAGAGCTCACCTCCAGCCTCTCCCACAACCACCACAATCAACCAAGCTCCACCATCCACTCCACTTTCCTCACCTCCACCTTCCTCACCTCCTCCACCTACCCCACCACCCCTCAAGTACAGAGGAGTCACGTTCTACACCAGGAAGCAATTTAGTAAAGCAATGCCTCGCGAAGAACTCATCCAATGACTCCAAGACAATACTGCAAAATTCACCTACCACGAAAGACAAACTACCCTCCAAGAGATAATACACAAACTCAACAACCACAAATATGATTCCAACTCCCCCATCAATGTGCTACACCTCTCCAGAACAAGATTCAATGCAGTCAGCAGCGGATCAAGTGCATAACCAACCACCACCAAGCTGAAGTTCCCCAGCACTTTGCTATTTGGCTAAAGCTGGGGTGTGGCTCCAAAACGACCCTGTTTTCCTGGGCACCATCAGCCATCTCCTGCCGGGCACCTGAGTACCAGCCCTACTCTACTGACACTGCTGCCACCAGCACATCTCTCTCCAACACAACCTCCTGCAGTACCTCTGCACATCACGCTCCAGAGTGGACGGGCCACTCACCTCTGCAACCCCACCTCCTACTCCACCCTCCCAACCTCTTCCATTTTTCCAGCCCTCCCCTCCCTCTTCCTTCCCATCCTCACCAACCCTCAGGTCAGAGAACCAAGAACCAAGATGAACAAGGAGGCTTTAGGAAGGGTAGGGGGTGTGTAGACCAAGTAAGTGTTTGCGGTGAAACATATAAGTGAACAGTATTTAGATAAGGGTAAAGAGGTTTTTGTGGCATTTATGGATTTGGAAAAGGCGTATGACAGGGTGGATAGGGGGGCAATGTGGCAGATGCTGCAAATGTATGGAATAGGAGGTAGGTTACTGAAAGCGACGAAAAGTTTTTATGAGGATAGTGAGGCTCAGGTTAAAGTTTGTAGGAAAGAGGGAGATTATTTCCCAGTAAAAGTAGGCCTTAGACATGGATGTGTGATGTCACCGTGGTTGTTTAATATATTTATAGATGGAGTTGTAAGAGATATGAATGCTCGGATCTTGGCACAAGAGGCGTTTACCTGGAGAGAGTTCCGGGGGTCAACGCCCCGTGGCCCGGTCTGTGACCAGGCCTCGTGGTGGCCATGGTGTGGAGTTAAAAGATAAAGAATCTAACACAAAGTGGGAGTTGTCACAGTTGCTCTTTGCTGATGACACTGTGCTTTTGATAGATCCATGTAAAAATAAAGCATTTTTGCTGGATATGAAGAAAGTGGTAGTAGGTTGGTAGGTTGGTAGACAGCAACCACCCAGGGAAGTACTACCGTCCTGCCAGATGACTGTGAAACAAAAACCTGTAACTGTTTTGCATGATGGTAGGATTGCTGGTTTCTTTTTCTGTCTCATAAACACGCTAAGATAACAGGGATATCTTGCTACTCCTACTTACACTTTGGTCACACTTCACAGACACGCACATGCATATATATATATACATACATCTAGGTTTTTCTCCTTTTTCTAAATAGCTCTTGTTCTTTTTTATTTCTTCTATTGTCCATGGGGAAGTGGAAAAGAATCTTTCCTCCGTAAGCCATGCGTGTCGTATGAGGCGACTAAAATGCCGGGAGCAATGGGCTAGTAACCCCTTCTCCTGTATACAATTACTAAAAAAGAGAAGAAGAAAAACTTTATAAAACTGGGTTGCTTAAATGTGCGTGGATGTAGTGCGGATGACAAGAAACAGATGATTGCTGATGTTATGAATGAAAAGAAGTTGGATGTCCTGGCCCTAAGCGAAACAAAGCTGAAGGGGGTAGGAGAGTTTCAGTGGGGGGAAATAAATGGGATTAAATCTGGAGTATCTGAGAGAGTTAGAGCAAAGGAAGGGGTAGCAGTAATGTTAAATGATCAGTTATGGAAGGAGAAAAGAGAATATGAATGTGTAAATTCAAGAATTATGTGGATTAAAGTAAAGGTTGGATGCGAGAAGTGGGTCATAATAAGCGTGTATGCACCTGGAGAAGAGAGGAATGCAGAGGAGAGAGAGAGATTTTGGGAGATGTTAAGTGAATGTATAGGAGCCTTTGAACCAAGTGAGAGAGTAATTGTGGTAGGGGACTTGAATGCTAAAGTAGGAGAAACTTTTAGAGAGGGTGTGGTAGGTAAGTTTGGGGTGCCAGGTGTAAATGATAATGGGAGCCCTTTGATTGAACTTTGTATAGAAAGGGGTTTAGTTATAGGTAATACATATTTTAAGAAAAAGAGGATAAATAAGTATACACGATATGATGTAGGGCGAAATGACAGTAGTTTGTTGGATTATGTATTGGTAGATAAAAGACTGTTGAGTAGACTTCAGGATGTACATGTTTATAGAGGGGCCACAGATATATCAGATCACTTTCTAGTTGTAGCTACACTG